CCAGGTCCCCAGCTGAACCCAAGCTGCCCGCACTCGCCCCCCAACCCAGGTGGACCTCGTGCTGCCCATATGCACACCCACCACATGCTGCCCATTCTCCCCCCGCCCCCCACAACTCAGCTGAACCATGCACTAACCACACTCCTCACGTCCCCCCTAGCAACCCAGCTGAACCTTGCATCACCCGCTCCCCACCCTCCCTCGCAACTTCTTGCTTTCCCAGGCTCCCACAGGAAATGCCTCCCTCTGCTCGTATTGGGCGTCATGGCTCTTGCCCACCCCTGCAGCCCAACTGAGTGGCACATCCGTTCCCTGCAGCAGGGAAAGGCTTCAGGAACTGTCCCTCCAGACTTCTGTTCCGCAGTCCGAGAGAGTGGGAGGGGGAGGGGAATTAGCAGTGTGCAGCAGCTTCTGACTGCATCCGGAGTCTCGGGGCCTTCTGGGACTTTTCAGTGCTGCGCGGGGCACCAGGACAGGACATTAAATATCAGGACTGTCCCAGAAAAAGCAGGATGGATGGTCAGCGTAGCTATAGCTTAGTCTCAACCTCTTGCTCTCTACCTCTCCTTCCATCCTCTCACTCTCTCCACCAATTTCCAAGTGGGGAGGTTTTTAAAGGCCTCCAGCAGGCCTGAAGTGGAGTCAGCTGGCCCCAATCTGCCTGGACCAGCTCCTGGGCAGCTGCTCCTAATTGCCCTGCTGCCCTGCACCCCTAATTAGCTGGCCTTTCCCCCTTTTGGGGCTGTCTTTTCCCCACTCTGTAGCAGCCCTGTGGGCTGGCCTAGTCATAAAATGAATAACTGAAGTGCTAAAGGCTGGATTCGTCCCCCTGGGCAGAAGGAGAGAACGAGCTTCAGGGCGATAATACACATTTAAAAAGCTGTAACAAGTGTTCTCCTATTCTGCACAGGGTACACATTTAAAAAGCTGTAACAAGTGTTCTATTCTGCACAGGGCGTGGTCAGAGCTGTGCCCAGAGAGTTACCCTGGAGTACGCGAGCGGGGTGGCTGCCCCAGGCCCCGCGCTTCCCGAGGCCCCACGCATGCACCATGTCAAAGGAGGAGCCCCGCAAAATTTCACTGCCCGGGGCCCCACGGTGCTGCCCTGGGCCCCGCAGCACTCTCATCCGCCCCTGGCGCTCAGTTTATGATGGTGCCTATGCAAACTCAGAGGTTAATGGTGTCCTCCCCAGAGATGTCTTCCTTCCTTCAGCAAAGAGAAGCCAGCAGATGGATCTGCTTGCTTCTATGCGGGTATATCACATGACTGCAAAGTGCTCCTTGCCCCATCTGCATTGCTGTGCAACCAGATGATAATTCAGCACTAGAAGCTGGAGGACTGGCATAGAGCAAATTAATTACATAATCTCATTCTCTAGAACACTGAAACAAAACGAATGGTGCATGAATTAAAAAATGGGATGGGTCAAGTCTTGGCAAGACCTCTGAATTAGTGTTGCAAAAACAAATTTAATTTTCTAAATTCAACATTTAAGAGACAAACTGTGAGCTGTTTCCCAGTAACTCGGTGACCAGGCCCATGCTGTAAGGCAAATTTGGGCATTAGTGGCTATGATAATGTTCATGAGATTTCAACAGAACAAGCTCCAGCTAGCAGGCCCTCTGCCACACACCCTCGCACATGTCTAATTCCCCCTGTAACTTTACTCAGAAGTAAGGATTTGTTTTATTGCAATACTACAAGGTGGGTTTTTAAATGGATTTCTTTAAAATTATCTTGCAGATGTGAAGTTTTTCAATGCCCAAGTGAGTTATTTGAAGTGGAGAGCGGGAGGAGGAAAAAGAGGCTGACTCAGAAAGACAAAGTGTGGTGACAAAAACAAAGGGCTCAAGCAAGCCCAATTCTCACCTGCTGTCAAAGGAAGTTGCAGCTACTCAGCATTTTTCAGGATCAGGTTTCAACCAAATCAGTTTGATCTCAGATCAAGTAGTAACATACCTGCAATGATATCATCCATCTGTTCTAAGGCTGCTTCAAGCACATGGCTAGCATCAGAATCCATTATGTCTGACTTGACCAAACCTTTATTCCTCCAACTGAAAAAATAAAAAAGAGGGTGATGAATCCATGCATATTACATGAAATCACAGATATTTTAAAGAACATAGTTCAATATGGGCCTGCTGAAAATGGAACCACGTAAGCTAAATTAATCCCCTGGCACAATTAGGCATAATGCCATAAAAACCAATAGAGTTACTTCTGCGGCTATCAATGATCTTAGACCAGCATTTCCAGCTGATCTTTTAAGATTTGTACCTTAGTTTTTTTCTTCCATGTAATTTCAATAAAATCATCCATATCAGATTTTAAATTTGTACCTTAGTTTTTTTCTTCCATGTAAATTCAATAAAATAATCCATATTAGATTTTAAAATGAACATAAGAACATAAGAATGGCCGTACTGGGTCAGACCAAAGGTCCATCTAGCCCAGTATCCTGTCTGCCGACAGCTGCCAATGCCAGATGCCCCAGAGGGAGGGAATAGAACAGGGAATCCTCACGCGGTCCCTCTTCTGTGAAGGGAAGGGTTGAGATTCAAGCACAAACTCTTTCTTAAACAGAGGCCAAAGCTTCCAGATGCTAGGATTGCTTCTTTGCTGCCCACCCAATTTGAGGGGGAGGAGGAGTCACACTGCTCATGGGTCAAGCAATTGTGGGCTGCCATCCTTGCTGGGCTTCCCGCTGGGGTCTGATGTTTTATACCACAGGCATAGCTCCCGAGGACTCTAAGGCTACGTCTAGACTGCACATCTTTTTCGACAGAGGCTTTGTCGACAACTACTGTTGACAAAGCCTCTGTTGAAAAAGAGCATCTAGACCACGATCAGTATTGTCGACAAAGCAAGCCACTTTTTCAAAAGAGACTCTAGACGCTCTCTTTCGAAAAAGCACAGCTTGCATGCAATAGCACCTTTTTTTGAAAGAGCACTTTTGAAAAAAGGCGTTATTCCTCATAAAATGAGGTTTACCACTGTCGACAAAACTGCCGCATTCTGTCAACTTACTGTTGACAGAACGTAGCGGTGGTGCAGATGCAGGTATAGTTTTGTCGACAAAACCCTGTAGTCTAGACACACCCCAACTGAGGAAGGCTGCTTGAGGAGTGAGGGATTGAACTTAGACCTCACATCCCAAACCTCCCTGGTAAGCACCTTGATCATTTGCTGTCTGTAGGGGAGCCTTGGGCAAGCTTTGCTATCCCTGGGGAGTCCCGCATCTGAGTCAGGGGGCAGATGGGAGACTGTCACCAACAGTCTCTCAGATGTCCCTGAGACTAGACAATGCCCCTGTGATGAGTAGGGAAACCTCCCAGAGTTCCATAGTTGTCAGGAGCTGGCCACTGGTTTTGGGACCATGTTGCACTGGTGGATCAGAGGGGAAAGGCAGTGCCTCAGACGGGTGCCCCTGGCCTGCAGGAGGATTCTCCTCCTTGCTGCCCAAGCATGAAGAGGCAGCAGACTAGTCTGGGAAGCCAGGATCATAGAGAGGCCTCCTGATCCTATTGGTTCTGTTCATGGACTTCCACTGGGACCGGCACAGGATGATGGCTCTCAGTACTGCAGTTCCAGTGATTGGCAACATTTGGCAAAGGTAACCCAGCAACTGTTGCCTCTCACTTAGGATACATCTACACTGCACGGCTATTTTGAAATAAGCTATTCTGGAAGAGATATTCCAAAATAGCTTGTTTCGAAATAGCACGTCTACACTGCAAGGAAGCTTCAAAATGAGTCTGAGGCAGGCTTCCCTCATGTAGATATGCTATCTTGATTTAGAGCCCTAGGAGGCACTGGGGAGGAATAAATTACAATGGCCCTAGTGGGGGCTATTTCGAAACAGCAGCAGTGGAGCGTCTACACAATAGCTATTTCGGAATAGGCATTATTCCTTGCAGAATGAGGGTTACAACAGTTGGAATAAGATGACTTATTATTTCAAAATAATTATTTCAAAATAATGCTAGTTATCTCGAAATAACGGTGCAGTGTAGACGCACCCTTGGAGAATGGTGCTGCTCCATAGACCTGAAGTGAAAAGATCAACATCTTGGAGATTGTTGACATGCCCATGGTGATCTGTACCAGCTGCCCAGAAACCAGAGACGGGGCCCTCGGGACCAGCAACTCAGCCCTCTGGATCAGTGCCATGGATTGGAAAAAGACTTGCACACTCCTGGCACCAGGGCTGTGGGGATTGGTGCCATACCTCTGCAGGTCAATGCCAGTGACTGACACCTGGACCCCACAGAACATTGCTTATAATCCATGGACCATCACCACGAACCCAGGTAGGTAAGCTAGCCTGCATCCAGGGGATGGCTCACTAATCAGGCAAGTGTCAGTGCCATGGATTGGAAAAAGACTTGCACACTCCTGGCACCAGGGCTGTGGGGATTGGTGCCATACCTCTGCAGGTCAATGCCAGTGACTGACACCTGGACCCCACAGAACATTGCTTATAATCCATGGACCATCACCACGAACCCAGGTAGGTAAGCTAGCCTGCATCCAGGGGATGGCTCACTAATCAGGCAAGTGCT